AGAGTGAGTAACTGATTCTGGGAAAACGTGTCTAGTTGCCTCTTCAGGAGGTGAAGATCATGGAAAAGACCACTTCTCAGTGGATTCAGATGAATTCCCATTGATCTGTTCTTTGTTTTGGAAAGGATTTCTCTATTCCTTCCCTACCTCTCACCCCAAGCTGAGAAGCACCCAGTACTGGAGGTCCCACACATACTCTCCCCAGTGTCCCTCAAAGTCTATGACAGATTCTAAATCAGGATTGAATTGAGAATCCTCTGGGGACATTTGCAAAAATGACAGGTCTGAGTTTACTTAATTTGACTGAAATCTTCCCAGCTCCAAGAGTTATAATGGAAGAATAACCAGCAACTGTTAATTTAACAAGTATTTTTGAGTAGAAAAGGTGCATACTGTGTGTTGCCTGTGGTGAGTTGCTGAAGGTCCAGGTGTAAGTAGAGATGAATTTTGGATTTATTTATAGTCTGGTGGGAATTTAATGGGAAAGATGGATGGGAATGGAAAGATGCTCTGGGAAAAAGAATGAACTATTTAAGACTCAAAGACATGATCAGGGGCAGGTTGCTGGGTATAGACAGATATTTGAAGCAGAGATGCTTGTATGTACCAAGCAGAGAGCTATAAGAGATGTTGGCATTTGTGGGGAACTATAAGAGTGTTTCATCTGTGCATGGGAAAGAAGACATGAAGTAAAGTGTTAAAGGAACAAAAAAAAAAATCAATTAAAACACATGTTAAAGATTGAAACTGAGTATCCTACCAACGAATGAAAAAGTTTCACCTCTAAACATATCCTAATAGAATTCATGATTCCAAGAATGAATAGATGATGCTAAAAGCTTTTAGAAAAAAAATGTTGGGGCTGGAGAGATGGCTCAGCAGTTAAGAGCACTGACTGCTCTTGCAGAGAACCCAGGTTCGATTCCCAGCACCCACATGGTGACTACGAACCATCCTTAACTCCAGTTCCAGGGGAATCCGACGCCCTCTTCTGGCCTCTGTGTCATTGCACGACACGAGTGCATTCACATATGTGCAGGCAGTACACTCATACACATAAAATAAAAATAACAAATGAAATATATAAAAAAGAAAAAAGTTAAAAGTTTGGTAATTAGAGTAGCATCAGACTGCTCAATAGCCACATTAGAAACTAGAAGAAAATGAAATAATGCTCTCAAAATTACACAGGAAATGATTTTTTATCTAGAATTGCATATCCAGCCAGGCTGCCAGTGAAGATTCTCAAAAGATCATATTCTGTGCACTGTGTTCAGAGTCAATGGGAGATGTGTATGTATGTCAAGGTGCAAAATAGAGCAAGAAAGAGAAAGTACAGATGCCAGGATAGGGCTTTCCTGTTTACTTCATGAGACTGCTGTAAGCCAGAGGGTAAAGGTGAAGGAGATTCTTTGAAAGGTAGAGGAAGTTAAATCCTAGTTCAAGTCAGGCCTAGAGAGCAAGCCATTCTAGCCAGACTGAATCAGGATGAAGTGTTTAGAAAGAATGTTTCCATAAAAAACAGTGTCTTCTTTTCCTCACAGTAAAAGAGGAAGAGGAAAGGAAGAACCTGGCATTTTTAGCTCATTGAGAGGAGTTTTGCAGTCCTTGGGAGAATTTCATGAGGTAAATTAGGAGTATAAAAAGCTAAGAAAACAACAAAAGCCAAAAACAGAGCAACTAATAATTCCAGGAGAAATAAAAGTTATCCAAGGGAAATACAATAATGGCTGCACAAGAGTGCTGGGAACAGTATTTACTTCATGAGACTGCTGTAAGCCATTAGTATTGATTTAGCCAAATGTGAACATTTAAGCAGAGGATTAGACAAGTGCAGCACTGGTGTATGGAAGTGAAGGATGGTGTATGAGAATTAAAGCCCTACCTTTCACAGGGAACAATTAATTAAACAATATTTAAAATAGAAAAATCAAGACTTGGCAGTGTATAAGAACATCACCTAGAAGTGTTGCGATAAATGTGAGAAGGAAACACTAACGGAGTTGAAGTGGGCTGCTCTTCTAGAGAATGAGAGCTGGGTGTGGGGAAGAGTGAGGCAGTGGACTTTGCTTCATATTATAAGCTTTGTACTTGAATAAAATTAATTATAAAAGCATATTTATCATTTGTAATCCTGTGGGAATCTTGCATATGGTACTTTGCATTTTGTTGAGCAGAGTTTGTGCTTTGTATGTACTAGCCACTTAACTTTGGCACATTCTCCTAAGTTTCATGTAAACCTTTTCTACAAGTAACTGAGTATGAACTGCAGTGAGAATTGGTGAATTGTGATTTCAAATATATTAATAGACAGTCTCTGGATACATGGCTCCTAATATGCCCCTCCCCCCAGTGTTTTTGTATAGACTGTCTTCTAACCATTGGAGGATAAACAGAGCTTCCTTTTCCTTTCTTGCCTTCTCCCCAAAGTAGAGCAGTTAGACTTTGCATAAGAAATCAACATTCCTTATATTTGAGGAGGAAGCATGGAAATTTATGTCATGCTAATTAGTAGAGGTGATAAACATTACCATTGAAATCTACCCAGTGACTTCATAGACATACACAGATGCCAAGGATCCAAGTGCAACTGATTATGACTAGTATAATCAGATGCATACAGATTAGAGATGCATGCGCCAACATCTCAGTGTCAGCAAAAATGAGTCTGCAAGGAACAATGTATTCTAAAATAAAATGGAGATCTTTTTTAAAGGTTAAAAAACTCATTCAATTTTATGTCTTACAGGGCTTATACTGAGTTCAATATTGTATAACT